ACTATTCGAACAAATCTAAAGTTATTCTAAAATTTGATGCTATTTCCGAAATTTTTTACCATGTTCAAAAAAATAGAATTTTATTATGGCCCGACCCAATCCTCATAAATTATGGCCTCATAGTGTTTTAGGATATAAACAAATATTACAAAATCTACAATTCAATATTGAAAGTGAAACTGAAAAATTTTATGCAAAAAAGGCAAAAAATAAACGTTTTCGATAAATAAACAAATTAAAAAAATATAAGTTCTAAGAACCTGATCAGAAAATATTGATCCAGGATTTCAGAATATTATGTTACGAACTCCCTGGTTAAGAATCCATTTTTTAAATATATTTCAAATACTTCTTTACTAGACATAAATTCTATTTTTCAAGATTTTTTTATGGGTAATGGTGTAGAATAGAATATACATTACGTTAAGATTAAATATTATTAAGGACCTTCAAATTAAAACTCGTCGGGTTTTTTGGAATATTCGTTAAAAATATGTATTTTAAAAAAGGGCAACAATTGTGATTTTTTTTAATTCTCTTTTATTTTTCACTTATAATTCAAAGGCGATATTTGTTATGTTTTCCTTATTAAACAACATAAATTAATTATTGAGGATTCGACGTATTAATGCTTTGTGCAAAATAATCGAATCTTTGTCCGACGAATTCCAGTCAATCGTAAAGTTCAATGGTTTTTTAAATCATTCCATGCTAGAACTTTTACGAACTTTCTTTGTGAGAACTTTGTTTGAGGGTACCCACAGATGACGAATATGCTTTTGTTATTTCTGGTTCACTTCGAAAGATATATTTGTATAAAAAGGTCAAAGAATCTGAAATAAAAAAAAAAAACATTTATATATATTTTTTTTAAATCAAAACAATTGTCAATAATTTTGAAACATTTTGAGTGAGTAATGAGTGACTGATGTGCAAGAAAACAAACGATGTATTAATTACAGGTAGTGATAATACATACCAAACGGTCAGATCACCCTCCATATATTTCCAATACAATTTTGAGTTATTTTTAAATCATTTCAATAAATCAATCATAAAATTACGTTTCGAAAAGTCAAATACAAATGATTGCGGCAAATCTGATTATAAAAACAAATAAATTTATTTTATAATAAATGGGCGCAGTAAATTTCCACTTCAAAACTGCCGGGTGTTTTTGACGCGTTTCCTAACCGATACTGGCACCGTGACAATATTATGTAACGCCCAAAGCAAAAAAAAAGAAAAAAAACAAAAAATAAAATGAATTAAATGAAACATCATCATCAGCAGCGGCAGCAAGTGTCATTTTTTTGTTATTATCAATTGTTTTCATTTTTAATTTATTTGAATTGCGCGTTTCATTAAAACTCGGGAAAAAGTACTAACCTACCTTTTTTAGTGGCTTCGTCATTTCTGGGACGAATGCACTCAAATTTAAAACACATGTTTCGGCACGCATTAATGGATTCCATGCAAGGCATTTAATTGGCCGGCCCGCATTTAATCGATGAGCGAAACAAATTAAATTTTAATGCATCAACCATTTATTTAAAGTCTAAAAACTGTAGAATTATTAGCAGAGTAGAAAAAATGCCGAAATAGTATCATTATTCTGAGTAATCATATGAATGTTTAATATCGGCTATAAATCAGGGACACGATCCGTTTATTTTGTGATATTTATTTTAGCCGGTATCAGGGTAAAGCATTAATTTGTTAATTCTGATTTATGAGCCGATTATCGCCAATTTTGATAAGAATTTAAATTGTTAAAATGTCAATTTATGGGAAAGTAAAATATATTAGTCAGGGATTAGCCACAAGTTCATTGAAGAGAAATTGATTTCTGATGATATAGAAATCATAATTTTAAATCATTTGTATGAATTTACAATATATAACAGCCTTCATGAATACAAGCTCTTACATCTTTTGAAGAACTGATTAAGCCATACTGCAACTTAAAATCTGCAATGGACTTACTTATTGGAGGCCATTTAAGCTTCTTCTATAGCTGTCCTGTTATTGGTCTTCATACTTAATAAGAACATAAAAATTGGTCTATGTTTGAGAGACTTCTAAAAGGGGACCTATCAAGAGAAATCCTAAATTTTGCAGTTCGAAAAATACAAGAGCATAGCGTACGTTACTTTTTTAGTAAATGGAGAACCGACATATATTATTACTTCTCTAGACCTAACTTGAATAGAAATATTTAAATAGTTCACAGAATAAAGAGAATCGGGGGCATTTTTCCAATTTTTAGAAAATTATGATTATTGAAAATTGGATATAGCCGAAATGTTGCAGGGTGCAACGTATGGGTACATTAAATATTCATTCTCTGTATAATTATGTTTTTTATACCATATATACCATACTATGGAGAATATATAAACTTTATAATTCCGTTTGTAACTCCTCAAAATACTCATATCAGACCCAACAAACTATATATATATATATATTCTTGATCAGCGTAAAATTCTAGCGATGTAAGTCTGTATGTCTATTGCAATCACGCTATCTATGGAACGAATTGATGTAGAAGACTAAAATTTTGCACAAATGTGCCAGTAAGATCTTAAAAGGCCCAGGTTGGTCCACGTTTTCATATATCCCTCATATAACGATACCTTTTGACATTCGGTATTTTCATGATTTTAGAGACTTTATTCACCAGAATTGTTTCAAATTTCGCATTCAAAGTTCTTAATAGGTACTACAGCCTATTACAAAAATCGCGTATCCTGGCCCTCGTCTTCATATAGCCCCCATATAACGGTACCTCTCGATATTCGGTATTTTTTTAAAATTTCGAATTTGAAGTTTGGAATTGGTACTAAAGGCCAAAAAAATACTCATAAAGGACCACGTCTTTGTATAACTCCCACATGAGGGGTTTCATTTGAAAGGTATTTTTTTACTGATTTTTTTTTTAAATGTTTAATGTTCCTTCAAAATGGAGAAGATAATAAAAGTTCAACCCGGCCGAACTTAGCTGCTTTTTTACATGCCATTTTTGAACGCTTTTTGAACCCTGTGGTAAACGTACAGGACAGAATGTATCAATATTTCCCATCTTAAAATTCAACATGAGTTTGATGAACAATGTTTTCGACAGACTAATAGATAGATGACCAAGTACTAATGTCCTGATACAGATTAATACCAAAGATAGATGGCGTCTGAAACCATTATTTTGTCGAGGCACATATATGAGCTATCGAAATCATCTATACTCTCTGTGACTATTAGATCGGCGGTAAGAACTTACAAAATTTTAAAAGTAACTTAGTGAAGCTGCTCTGAGTTGTACACCAGTTTTTTCCAGTCCAAATCAAAGAATCTCCTACTGTAAAACAGGAGACCCTCATTTCCATTCAACTCGAAAAATGTTTCCGAGCTCATAACTGGTCAACGTAGCCTTGAAGACCTCTAGGAATGAAACTTGTGGACCCGTCTGCTTTACGGATGGGGTGTAGAGCCATAACGTTAGCCAATAAAAAGGCATATGCCACAATTGGTCTAATCACCTGTGTAAAAGTTAGATGAGAAAGCAACAACTCGGATCGGGTTCAGTACCAAATCTTTCTGTCTACGAGGACTAAATTTTGAGAGAAGAAACCAACCGCTCGAATTGAGTACAGTTCCGAATCTCTAGTCTTCTACAGTAAAAAATGTAACACAACCGCTCATTTGGATTGTTGTCTCAAATCGCGATTGAAGGACAAAACGCTCAAATCCGTTTTTTATCTTAATCAAGACCAAGATTTAACTGTATCCGAAATACAGACGTTTGACCCTGCATAGGACGTAGCCTATATGACGGAGACAGGCGATCCTCTCCTGAAATCTAGCACCGACCGAAACTGCTTACATTTATGCTAAACTACGCCCAGAAGACCAAGGATGGTAACACAAAGCCTTCATTCAACATTGCGCGCCATCTAATGAAGTACCAATTTCGGGCATGGGGTATTGGTTAGCAACCCTATTGACCGACCTAGCAAGACAAAATTTAGCATAAGTCAGGAAAAGACCACCAGATAAAGGAGTCAGGGTGTCAAAGGAAAAGATATTGTAAAGGGTGATTTTTTAGCTATCATATTTTTGGCAACACTAGCGTAAACACCTCACGCATGTTTCGTGTTTTTCACTGTCAAACGTCTTCTTTGGTCTATAATTTAACCACGAATCGCCTTGTAAACGAAAAATGATTGCAAGTCATTGCATTTTATTATCAAAATGTGTGCTCCCTTAAGAAAGCTCGTTAATTATGTTCCGCGGCGAAGCTCATTTTGGCTCAGAAATATGAAAAAAAAAACTTTCTGTCTTTCAAAGGTCTTTTTTGCTTGAAGCAAAAATCCGTAGATACTAGGGACATACTCATAGAGACGCCCTGACTCTTATGAAATGTCTAATCTTCCTTCATTTTTTTTTTACATTTTACAGGAATGGTTATTTTTTATTTTACTATAAAAGGTTTCGCTATGGTAAATAAATGCCTCTATATGTGAGATTTTTGAAGGGATGCTATATATTGTTAGAAAGTCTCCGATGTACAATACTCCTATAAAAGACGTTCCACAAAATACCTACCTTAGAGGTTTTAAAAGAGTGCGATCTTCTATCTCAAACTGGAATTGAAAATAATCCTCATTTTGCCAGCCTTTCCCACCCACAGGTCTTACCCAAAGACATAACCCATTACAAGTCATTGCGATAAGAATTTTTTAATATTCTCAATCATGTGCCTCGCACCGCCAAACATATTTATATTTTTTAATATTGCAGTCAACAAATCGATTGTTCAATAGGTCTTTGTGGCGCTATCTAACTGATAACCAGAGTATATCGACTTAATTCATTACTTATCTCCCCTTTTGCCCCGCCCCATCACCCTACCTCCCATTACAACAATTACATTTGTATTCCATATCAATTAACAACTATTAATAACGTGGTATTATTATTTTTGTTTTGTCTCTTTGCAGGGCTTTTGTGGAAATCGTTGTGATAAACGTTTTTGCGGTTGAACGTCAAAATCGCTTGCATGCGCATTTGTTTTGATCGGCTGTGCTTCGCCAGAGAGAGGCCAGCCCAAACAGATAACAACAGTGCCAATAATGCTACTTTCCAGCGAAGGCCGGAACATCAACTTCACACCTATGCCGATATTGGCAAGCCAAACAACAATAGTACCCCCGCAACACCAGCAGCAGCAACAACAACAACAAATGCTAAAACAGCAACCACCAGTGTCATCACCACAAGTCCTACCTGTACCTACCTTACAACAACAACAACAGCAGCAGCAAAGAGCACAGTCACAACACTAGCACCTCGCCAACAAGCACCAGCGACAGTCGCCACGACATACACAACCGTTGCCAGACTGGGACCAACGAATGGTGCCTCCATTAATGCCCTGGATCCACCGTCAGCCTCAGCACTCGTAGACAACAACAATAGAAATAACAACAGCAACAAAAAAAATAATTTAGATTTAAAAGATCACCAGCATAGTCAGATCGGCTCGTTGAGTTCCGCAACACGTGTGGTGGAAGCAACGAAGGCTACACCAACAGCAGCAGCAACGACAGCGACAGAAGAAAGCAAAACACCCACGCCCCAAGTAAATATTTTGGAAAAACAATCTTCAGGCAGTCCGGCGGAAACGCTTCCAACTCAAAAACAACAACACAAAACACCTGACGAAGATATTGCCAAGAATCATCATCAAAAAGAACAACAAACCATTAGTCAAGAAGCAGACAGCGTAGCTGCGAACAAAAACAACAGCAGCAACAGCAAAAGCGATACACAACATCGAGAGTCGCAGCCACCGTTGGCCAACGGCAAAGCCGTCGACGACGACGACTCATCACCAGCCGACAGCGCATCTAACGACGAGGCAGCCGAAACATCATCAGCTAAAATGCAGCAAGAACCAAATGCCAACATCCAGTTCCAACCCGATCTGGGCCTCGTGAACAACAATAATTTGCAAGCGCTCGGTGGCGCACTAATCGATGGTAGTACGGGTGCCGCCATACGTCTGTCCTTGCCATTGAATCCCACGGACGTGCTAACGCACACGCTCATCTACGGTACCGTGCCCACGGGGGCCCAACAACTGAACACCGATCCCAATCTCCAGGCACGCAACTATCTACACCAGCAGGAGTTGCAACTGCAGCAACGCTACCAGCAACTTCAACAGTTGCAGGCTCAGACGCAGGGCCTTTTCGCCACCGCTCCATCCAGCACACCGATCATCCTACAACAGCCCACCAGTGCCACAACGCCTGGCACAGCGGTTTACGCCGCTACCACACCCACCGATTTTTGTGCCCAACAAAAACTCCTGGCCGCCCAGATGCAGGGTCTGTGTATCTCGACGCCGAACGCCACGGCGACCACAGTCAGTGCGGGAACTGTTTTGGACCCAACCGCAGGCGGTGGTGGTTTCAATCTACACAGCAGCAATACCAGTTCATCCTATGTGCCGGCCACACCTCAGGAGGAGCGTTTGCTCCAGTGTATCCAGGCCAAGGACCTGAAGATACAGGAAATGCAACGAGCCCTCCAATACAAAGACAACGAAATAGCCGAACTTAAATCTCATCTGGACAAGTTTCAGAGTGTTTTTCCGTTTTCGCGTAGCGGTGCCTCGACGCCGTGTGGCGGTGTGGGAAGTGTGGGCGGAGCGGCGGCGGCCGCCGTCATTGTCGGCGGTGTACGTAAATCTGGTCAATCGTTTCAGCGGCAACGTGCTCAGGGTATATCAGCTGAGCCGCAGAGTGAATCGTCGGTGCTGTTGAATAATGTCACGTTCCCCAAATACGATAAGGATGATAAGTAAGTGAGAGATTTACATGTATTTTTTTGATTATAATTACCCTAGTCCAAAGTATACCAGGTTATGGAGAGGGTCTTAGGAAATGTCATTACGGCTTTATTTACTACATATAAGTCGGTAATATTTACCTAAATTTCAAAAATCACAAATGTAATCAAAAAATTAACAAAATGACCAACACATTTGGGAATGGAATAATAACCTTTCTTTATTTTTTGTGCATTCTTAAACATGGCAAACTGTAATCTCCCTACGCTTCGAATTATACATTTTACTTTCCAGCGAAACCACCGTCTTATATCTAGTTCCGTTGTTCAATTTATTTTATTTTTTTTTTTCATGAGTTATTTGAAAGATATTTTAGATCTGAGTGTTTGTGCTGCATGTTCGGGACGTAATAGTAATAGGTGTAATAGGGCTATACGAAGACGTGGACCTGCGCGGACAATTTTCTGTCATAGGCTGTAGTATCCATTTCGAACTTCAAATACAAAATTTGAAACAATAATGTCGCTAAAAGTATCAAAATAAAAATTCGGAGATGGGCAATATCGGTCCGCTCCTTCCTGAACCCCCACAAAAGGTCAACTATTTCACAGAAAATAATTCCCAAACAAAGGGTCAAAATTTTGAACAAATATAACTCTCATAAAATGCGATTCTCTTCAAATCCACCCATTCCAATATTTCTAGTAACAAAAGATCTGGTTTGAAGATGGGATATAGCGACCCACTCCTTCAAATACCTCCACCACAAAGGGTTAACATTTTAAATAGTCTTGAAGCTCATAAAAATCGAAATGAATAAAACGCGGCACATTTTAATATTTTTATTAGCAAAAGATCTGGTGTAAATATGGAATATATCGTACTACTCCTTCTGGTGGTACCTCCATCACAAAGGGTCAAAATTTTGGATAACTCATAAAACGTGAATTTTGCATCCGATCACTTTCAAACTCGGAACATCTCAATATTTCTTCTCACATAAGATCGGCTGTGAAAATGGAATATAACAGCACATTCCGCCGATACCTCCCCCACCAAAGGTTAACATTTGGAATAATTATAAATCTAAAAACATGTCAAACAAGTAAACATTTTTCAGACTTTGTTTATCACCACACTTCCAATCAGAGATCTGATGTGAGTTATGGATTTATCGGCCCACTTCTCAGGTATTTTTCCCACTAAGGAATAATCTTCCCCACCTTGAAAACTTATAACCCTTATGCATGCGAAAAAGTCGGCGATTTTTTCAGGCTTTGTGTATCTCAATATATTTATCAAAAAAAAGTCCTGGTTTAATTTTAGGATATGTCGGTATTATCTTTTTTGTGATTCCCCTACACAAGTTGAGCATCTTCTAGCTCCTAATTCGAAGATGGGCAATAACGGTCCAATTCTTCTGGCAAAATTTTCAAAAAAAAAATATATATATGTATTATTGCCCATAAGGAGGAAGGATAATCCGATTTTGCTCTAACTTTGCAAATCTTAATATTTACATCTGTGTGAGGTCTGGTGCGAAAATGGACAATATCGGTCCACTCCAACAAGTACCTCCCCCACAAAGGCTCAAAAATTTGAATAATTATAACTCTTAGAAAATGTGATGCATGAGTCCGATTGTCTTCAAATCACATACTACATTACCCCAAGTTCTGGTATGAAGATGGAATATATAGGTCCACTACTTCTGGTACCTCCCCCCACAAAGGGTCAAAATTTTGAATATCCATGGAGCTCATAAAACGCGAAATTAACATCCGATTCCATTCAGACTTGGTACATCTCAATGTTTCCGTCAACACAACATCTGTTATAAAGATGGTGGAGATCGGACCATTTCCTCTGGTACCTCCCCCACAAAGGGTCAAAATTTTGAATAACCAAAAACGATTATAAAATCCAAAATAAGCATCTGGTTCTCTTCATATTTTACCCATCCCAGTATTTCCACTAATTCAAGATATGCTGTAAAGATGGGATGTATTGGTCCACACCCTCAGTTAACTCCCCCACAAAGGGTCAGAATTTGGAATAGCCATGAAGCTCTTAAAACGAGACAAAAGCATCTGATTCTCTTCAAATTTCTCACATCTCAATACTTCTACTATTAGAAAATCTGCTGTCAAGATGGGATATATCGGTCCACTCCTTCTGGTACCTTCCCCACAAAGGGTCAACATTTTGAATATATCCATCAAGCTCATAAAACGCGAAATTAACATCCGATTCCATTCAGACTTGGTGCATCTCAATGTTTCTATTAACACAAGATCTCCTATAAAGATGGAAGAGATCGAACAATTTCTTCCCGTACCTCCGCCACACAAGGTTCAATATTTTGAAAAACAAAACGCTCAAAGAAAGCGAAACATCTAAAAATATATCTCTCTTTGTCAAAAACCTGTGATGAATATGGAATTTATGATTTCCCATAAATTGGATATAAATGTTCGATTTTCTTGTAAAATGGCCCGTACCAATATTTTTATCTGAATTAGATGAAGTATGAAAATGGAATACTTCGGTCGACTACATCTGGTACCTCACGCACATTTTAACATATTCTAAAAGTTATCACCAAACCAATATAGCCCAAACTTGGCTCGTCGCAATATTTATATCATATTTGTTTAGGTCCGATACGAAGTGGACAATATTAGCTCATTACTCAGAATCCACTCCATAGAGGATCAACAATTTGAATAATCATTAAACAAGTCAATATATATATAAATAATCCAACATTGGGGAAGGGTATACATCTGCCGGCAAACCCGACTGATATATTTTAACTTGTTACCTATTTATTTTACTGCAGCGGAGTCTGATATTCTGTCAGTCGATGGAGGGGTTGTACTTGCGATCTTCTGATTGCACTAAGCGACTTCTATGAACAATTGTACAATTGTACTTGTATGTGCTTCGGCGAACTCATCTTCTTTTCTTACTTTTCAACAAACTAGAATGCCGCCCTTAGCCATTACCTGGTAAGGAAATACAGCAATAACTCATTATTATTATTATTTTTCTGTAATGAAATGCCAAATGATCCATTTTTAAAAAGAAAATTCTCAAGATTTCCAGAGGATCTATCTAAGTTTCACAGAACTTATACCGCTTGCGATAAATTCATTGCACATTTGAGGAAAACTTAGCACAAGACAGTTTTTTTCTTTTTACCATTCGCAGCCATTTTTTGGCTCATCCAGAAGTGCTATTAAAATTAAGCAGTCACCCAAAAAATAAGTAAAGCTTCAAAGTAAAAGAACCCAATATTTTTTTTTATCCAAACAAATATCAAAGGTTTTATTGATTTCGATTTACGATTATTTTATTTCCCATCCCCAATTTGTTTTTAATTATTTTAGGATGTTTTCCCATTCCATTCCATTTGTTTTTTTTTTTTTTTTTTCTTGTTCTTCTTTTCTAAATTTTATTTAAAAAATAAACAAATAGACCATGAACGGCAATTTATTTCTTCGTCTGTGTGATGACCCTGAGCTATCCAAATGAAAATAGCAAAATGTAGAAATGGTTCAGCATTGGCAAGAATGTCTTTTTTTCACTTTTTTCAATGGCAAAGTGAAGCGAAGCGAGCCCAGCTGTTTCAAAGAATATTTTCGAATTTGTAAAGCAAATTGTAAATGATCGACATTTAATTGACGTCATTAACCGAGTTGTCGCGTAGAATTTTTATATTTTGGCTAACCCCTCCTCCACCTACCCTCCCCCACGAGAAAGCCATTTAAATAAAAATATTTACCAAAATTTTTTTAGTAAAAAAAAACAAAAAAACAAACACTCATATACTTTAGTGGCGTGGGCGTTTACACACCCTGTCTGTCTGTCAGCGGCAAGTGAATTACCCGGAATAGGTAACGATATCAGGCGCGAACAAGTCGAGAGACAACCATAGGAAAATAACCGATTATTATGCCATGCCAGACAGAGTAACGTCAGTTCATGGTCTAACCAATGAGCCACGGCCCATAAGTAGGTGCGTAATGGGTTCCTCCCTCCATATTGCCATGGTGCCGCGGTGGTGGTGTTGGTTTACTGTAATTGTTGCCTTATTTAATGCAATATTTGTCGTCGTTGTGTTGTTGCTGTTTTCCTATTGACAGACCAACTGTCAATTGATTGCATTGCATCTGTCAAACGCGTTCATGTTTATTTTTCACACATTCTATGTTAACGTCAAATCTTATGCCAAAGTCTATAGCTGTCGGGTCGCCTGCGATCATTGGACTGATTTATACGTTTGCCATAACTTTGACACTTGCAAATTGAGATTTTTATTACGACGTTGCAGCCGCAGCAGCTTGGTAGTCAGTTAGCCAGCCAATCAGCCGGGGAAGCAGACAGTCAGAAATGATGGACAGACAAGTGGCAAATCACATCAATTAAAACGGTGGGTAGACGCGACGCCGCTGGGACAGTGATTCGTAAAATATTTTTAAAATAAACAGAATTTGAGAAATATTTGAGTCATTGTTATGGGGAGATCTCCAAATCATCAGTATTTTTTTCCATAACTCATTACTAAATAATGGGTTTAGTAAGTACATATTGGCACTGGTAACTACTTACCAAACAGCCTACAAACTACTTATTTTATAGCAAATAAGTTCTTACCAAAGGAGCATTATTATACATTATGAAGGTTTGTACAGGGTAAGATAAAAAACTGTAACAAAGTCAAATAATTTTTACATTCTTTTCAATTTTTATTGAATGGGAGCAAAAAATATCGGAAATAGCATCAACTTTTAGAATAAGTTTAGATTTGTTCGATTTGGTCACCTTTGGCACGAATTATGGCCTTCAAACGGCCAATGATACCGTCACACGCTGCCCGCATGTTACTTTGCGGTATTTTAGTCCATTCCCGACGAAGTGCTTTCTTCAGGCGCTTCTTAGTGCCACCCTTGCTTTCCAAAATACTCCAGACACAATAGTCCAATGGATTGGTATTCCGAGATATTGA